TTAAAGTGATATACTTGCTCTTCAGCACTTTAGAGAGGTCCTTGATAACAAATTTCTGAGATAATTTTATTCAACTAATTGCCATTGAGTCTTAACTGATTCATAGGTGACCCTTCAAGCAACTTATCAGAAGCTGTAAATTACACCAGAGGAGATTTCCCATTTTTTTCTTTCTCAGAGCAGCTGCTATATTGAAACTGTGGCCTTTGGATTGGCAGAGCAACTCTTTATCCACTAGGCGACCAAAGCTCCCTTTATGACACAGGAGGGGGGGTTGTATATATTATTGTGTGCTTTTCAATCAGAAGCACCTCATAACTGACCCTCATGTGAGTTTTTAACAGGCAATAGGAGGAGATTACTCATCTGGCCGCAGAGCAGTTGGGGGATTCAAATCTTCTGCCTTTGACATTGTAGTGCAGCTTCTTACCACCAGGCCACCAGAGCTTCCATTTATGTTGTTGCTGTTGGTAGGTGTCATCAAGTCGAGTATAACTCATAGAGACCCTATGAACAGCCAACTTTAACTCTGCCTGATCCTGTGGCATCTTTATTATCTCTGACACACTAGAGCCCATTGCTGAAGTCACCATCTCATTGGAGATCTTCCTGTCCTTTGCTGACCGTCCATATTTCCAAGCATGATGTCACTGTCTAAGGAATAACCTCACCTAGCTACATGTCCAAAGTATTAAAGACAAAGCTTCACCATCCATGTCTCCAAGGAGCACTCTGGCTGCACTTTTTCCAAGACATATTTGTTCATTCTCTTGGCAGTCCATTGGATGTACTCTTCTCCAGCACCACAACTCAAATTCTTCTTCTGTCATCCTTATTCATTGTCCAGCTTTCTGATGTGTAGCAGGTGATTAAGAAGACCATAATCTGAATCAGGTGTACCTTAGTCACCAAACTGACATCATTACTCTTCAGCATTTTGGAGAAGTCTCTGACCATCAACTTGCCCAATGCAATATGTCTCCAGATTTACTGACTGCTGGCATCAAAGGTATTGATTGTTTCATATGTATAAATTCAGTGACCTTATGCTTTAGAAAATGAACAGCTAATGAATACTTTAAAACACATAATCACATATGAAATTAAAAATAGCCCTTTCAGGAACATTGCTGTGCTAAATCATGAAGAGTGCCACTGTTGTAGAATGGGACTGACATCAGGGTTGGGGTAAGACCGAGAAAAACTGGATAGATTATGTATACTGAATTTAAACAGATGAGGGAGAGAACAGTTTAAAAGCCATACATGATAGGGTATGATGATTATCACAGGAATCCAGAATTAAGGTTGCATAGTGGAGTGCATTTGGGGCAGGGAGTGAGTAGGGGTGGGGGATTATATATAACGAAGAAGTTTATCTTTTGCTTTTCAAAGGGAGGAATGAACTGGTGGGAGAGGTGCTAGAGGAAAAAGTGCAACAATGAATGAATGGGAATCCAAAATCTCTGTAAATGTTCATTAAAATTAATAAAATAAATTAAAAAAAAGAGTGGCCTATAACAGACATATTAGTATGAGGGAGACTGGTTAGGACCCAATGCTGGTCATTTCCAAGTTCCTGTTGTATTTTTATTGTCATCTCCCATTTGGTAATAACCACTTATTTCCTAGAAATTATGAGGGTCTTGAATGATAGATAAATAAATAAACACTATTACTTACCCAGTTCTTCACACCATAATTTCACATTTTTACCATCAAATCTGTTTGGGGTTTTTTGGTGGGTTTGTGGTGTTGTGTTTTTTTTTTCTTTCCTCTGAAGGCCTATCCTTTCTGTAAAGCCTTGGTCAAGTTTCAACTATCACATGAAGTCTTCCTATCTGCTCTATTATTTAAAGAATATGATAAAAAACAGGGATGGAACTCTGTTCTTGCAAAATAAAAACAAAGGCTGTAGGTTTAACTTTGATGCTAATAACAACTGAAAGATAGAGAGCAGAGAATTCTCTCCTACCTACAAGGCTTTATAGAAAATAATAAACAACTGGATGCCCTCCAACTCTGAGGACTTATCTGTAGAAATTATCTTAAAGGAAATCAAAATGTATAATTAATTCTCCTGGCTTGCCCAACCATGACCAATACATGCTTCTCACCTGATATATTGATTCTCGGCTAGAAATTTGTTTAATTAAAAGTTTGGTATCCTCTTGACTTATGACATAGCCTTTTGTAATAGTATACATCAAGCTGAGACGCTTTTTAATGAGAACATCCACAATATTTAATAGGAATGGTATTACTACCTGGAAGAATGGGTAGGGAGGGAGAAGAAAGAATGCCTTTCATTTAGAAGGGACACAGCACTCCCTAAGGCAAAGGTCCTTAAAGTGTGACTTCCCAGCCAGCAACACCACAAAACAGTTACGATAAGAGCCCAGAATCCTTTTAGGAGAAGAGGACATGATGAAGATAAGCACCTAGATTCGTTTTCTACATCACAGATTCTGTAGATGTGGAATTTTATGCATTCATTTCTCAGCTTATTGTCCCAGTCATAACAGCTGGGATCCTGAAGAATTATGTGGTTTATTGTTTGGTTGGTTGGTTTTAAGTTTACTGGAATTGGGTTTGTCTCAGGCTTATGACTTGTAAACAAAGACATTGTGCAAAGAAAGTAAAAATTATACACACTTTGGGGAGAAGGAGATGACACACCTAGTTCACACAGGAGATCAGTGGACAAAGGAGGCCATTCAACACACTAGAGAAATATCAATGTTCAACAGCTATCCACAGAACTCTTCTTTACACAAGAGAGGGGGAAAAGGAAACATATTTACAATAGATGTAAATGGTATAAAATTCAAAAAGCATTTCTTTTCAATTCAGAGAGCAAAAATGGTGTGGGGAGTATATGCAGGTGACACCTACCTGCTGTACACCGAATCACCTAGTACAGTCGCTTCTATGTACCACGGGGTGGAAAAAAAAAACCCCAAAACAGAACAGAGAAGTACTGAACAAATAAAAGCTTTGAGAGTTGCCTGATGGAAAATAAAGTTACCCAGTGGCTTTTCAAGGCTTTGTCTGGCTGTCAGTGCTTTAAAAAAAAACAATAAAATCTTTTCATCTCCAACAAGTGATGAAACCAGGCACAGGCAAACCATTACCAAATCAGACACAATCATACCAGTATCTTCCATCAAAAGCATGCCCCCCCCCATTTTGTTCATTGGGTTTAATCTTAGAGGTCCATTTGGTCACAATATGTTACAAATATTTGCAATTGTGCATGTTTGTTGTTGTTGAGGGTTTTTTTTTTTTTTACACCATTATATCATATGTTTGTCTAGCACTATCCTAAAGCGAGGTTTAAGATGATGTTTATATAGAAATGGCCCAGGAACCGCAGGACAAAATGCACTCACTGGGTTGCAACGAGGAAGGGGAGGGAAGAGAGGGAGAGAAGAGTTCACTTCTACCAGGGAGGGAAGGTCTCTGCGGTAACTTGTCATCTTGTCCAGGTCACTTCTGACTGTTCTAGTCCTGTTCCTCCTTGCTGTCGAAATTGCTCACAACAGGTTTGGATTTTCCAAGATTCAGCCTTTTCTTGCTTTTTCCTTTATCATGGCCCCTCTCCTCTTTTTTATTGAGCTTGATTTTCACCTTAACCAATTTTGCCTCTGATTCCTCGTTCTGGTTGCTTTCCTCTTCACTCTCTTACTCCTGGGCAATTTGCTGTTGCCGGGCACTTTTAAACACCAACTGGAACACAATGGAATCTTTGTAGATGTGGGAGCCCTCCAAGTTGAAGGTCTGAGCATTGTGGAAAGAAGCATTCTGTCCTTCTCCAGGTCCCTCAGGCTCCGGTATTTGTGGTTATAAATTCTTTTCTTTTTATTTTATTTGTTTTTAAATCCAGGGGCTTCATAATTAATGCATAGTATTGTAGCAGTTGCAAGGCTCTAGGAGTTGATGGCATACCAATTGACATATATCAACAGACAGACACTGCCCTAGATGTGCTCACTAAGTTGTGCCAAGAAATCTGGAGAACAGCCAGCTGGCCCACTGAATGGAAAAGATCGATATTTGTTCCCATTCCAAAGAAAGGTGACCCAACAGAGTGCGGAAATTATCGAACAATATCATTAATATCACATAC